CAATTTTGCTGCTGTTAGGAATTGGAAGGCAAGTATCTGTGGTTTCCATTGGTCTTAAGTGACCCCCCATGAAAGGGTCATTTGGTCTACAAAGGGGTGGAGACCCAGAGGTTGAGAACCACTGTCCTAAAAATTACAGTCCCTCCTAGTAACACTACAGACTGATAAGCAAGGCTTTAACGTGTGGCATTTCAGGGACATGTTAGAGCCAAGATATCAAAAATTAAAAAAAAGTAAAAGGTCATTTCAAACTTTAAATGCATTTGCTCAAATTCTTTAGACATTTTTTGAACATGAAACATGTTTTGCTTGATTTAAAAAAAAGAAGAAGAAAAAGGATGTAGACACCACTATTCACTGCTTCTTCTGTGAAATCTCTTTAAAGTGAGACAGGCAAAAAACTTAACTTAAAAAAAAAAAACATAGTATACATAAATTACCCCATTCTCATTGAAATGCCATAATCTAAGAACTGTTTTCCAAAAGGGAAAAATAAATCCTATGTTCCCATATATAGCCAAGTCTATCAAGATAAATGAATTCAAGTTTTGCAGATATAAGAGCAAAACCAACCTAAACATATCACATGAATCAGGGCAGTAGAGGCAGGTTGTGGAAGATGTCTGATGTTTAAAATCAGGAAAGCACAATGAAAGCACCAAGACCTGAAAACTGAAACCAAGGCCACAGTTCCCTGCCTACCCCTGGCTTTTTGGGTTGTTTGTTTGTTTTGCTTCTTCAAGACAGGGTTTCTCTTTGTGGCTCTGGCTGTCCTGCAACTCACTCTGATCAGAGATCCACCTGCCTCTGCTCCCCCAGTGCTGAGATTAAAGAGGTGAACCACCACCAACCAGTTGCTTTTCCTTTTTCTGAGGAGGAGGTGAAATTCATAGAATTTCAGGGTGCCAAGGAAAGTCTCAATCAAAAGTATGGCAAATCTACTGGGCCAATTCTATTTAAAAAAAAAAAAAACTTGGTAGAAAAGAATTTTCTTTTATGTAACTAAATTTCCAGGGGGAAGAAACAAATGGTTTTATTCTTTCATTTTCCTAATGAATTAGGATATAGGAAATTCTGATGTGTGCTCAAATTAAGTGAAGCTGTGCTGAGTACAAGGAAACGTGTCTGACTGAGGCACTGTATAGAAGGAAGACTTGGGGGTTACTGAATGAATTATGGAGAAATTTTCTTACAGATGCCATAAAATACACAGCTTCTAAACAAGATCTCCCACCTGTCCAACGCTACCACACTGGGACATTTATCATTCCATACAGAATGTATGTGTTAACTACACATTGCTTTCTGCCCCAATTTTTCATTTATTTTATGTGTATGAGCAATTTGCATGCATGTGCATCATGTGTGTGCCTGGTGCACACGGAGGCTCCCCTGGAACTGGAGTTACAGATGGCTGTGAGCCACCATGTGGCTGCTGGGCACCAAATCCAGGTCATGTGTAGAAGAACCCGTGTTCTTAACCACTGAGCATCTATCGCTCTAGCCTGCCACCTGCCAAGATTTTTGCAAATACACTTTGATGAATACAAAGACATATACGGGAGAGTCCACAGAGCTTTGTCGAGTTCCGACAAATACTAAATGCTAACCATGTAAAGTGGTCATCTCATTGGACTTCAGTGTAGGTAGGCATGAATCATGCCCGAGGCCGACCTGAGTAGTACCCAGTAGCTCGTTTCTAACAACTTTGCAGAGGGTGCCAAGACTGCTGTTCTTGAACCACACTGGGGAGCAAAAGCCTAATATTCCCTCTTTAGACCAGTGGGAAATTAATCAAGAGAGCGATATATATTTATATTTAGAACCTCTCTGAATATATTTATACTTGGTACCTTCACAACCTCAAAGATTGTGGGAAGGAAAATGCTGTTTTTGTCTGTGATTTCCACAACCCTCCTCTCTATACACGTCACCACAGGGTGCTTCTTGCAGGCATCGTCACTAATCTATCATCGACACCTTATCACTAATCTCATCTCACTAGAGCTATCTCAAATATTCATCACCTTCCAGCTTAGTGGACTGGCAAGTGTTTGGGTAAAGATTATGGAGACCTCATTTCTTTGGGGGAAGTCTATATGCAAGAATCATCAGGAATCCATGCTAGGTAACTAAAACCCATCATATAAATGTAATAAACTGATAAAAAAAAAATAGTCTCTAAATCAATAGATTCCAGGCTCCTTGTTTCTGAAAAACTTTTAGAATGGCTTATAATTTCTCTGGTATCTTTGTCATCAAATTTCATCACCAGTGATTTTAATTAACAAAAGGAAAAAATTCTTAGATCTTTCTGAGCTGTCTTGTTGGCTTCCCTCTGCCTGTCCCTCCACTCCTACAACCCTTGTTCTTCACTACACAGAAGAGGCCACTTGCCTGCTCATAGCCCTCCAAAGATGTCACCCTCTACTGAGAATAAAATCCAGACACCTTTCATCCCTATAGCCTCAGACTCTACTGGGCCATGGGCTATGTCTCTGGTCACTTCACCTACCTGCTCACTCCCAAACAGCACATTTAAGGTCCTCTTGCTTGCTGTGCCTTCCTCCAGCAGCCATTTGCCTGAGACCGTATTACTTAATGACGTCGTACATATTTAACACTCAGCATACACACAAGGCTCCCTTTGGGGAAGGCACTCTCTGCCTGCACCATCCACAGACTTGGTCAATGAGTCTCCACTCTTGCTTGAATCACTTAGCTTTTGTCAGTCTTTATAGCTTACCTCACCCGTCTACAAAGTGAGTCCACAATGCCATTTAATTATTAGTTTTTAAAATGTCCTGTTTTACTTAACCTTTCCCCCTTATTTATCAACTGTCTAAGAATAAGCACCTTGCCTCTCTTTTCAGTACTGTATCTTGAATTAAGTGGCATGCAGTTTCAATGGGTAGTAATAAAATAACTTACAGGAAAAGAAAATAAACAGGTTGAGAACATGACATATTTTGATTACAACAAATCACTTTGGAAAAAATCTAGGTATGTGAAACCATTCATACCTGATTGTGGAGCAAACAGATGTGGCATATGGGGTCTAGCTTTATAGATATGGGAAAATGGTATCACTTCCGTGTGTGTAACTTCTTTTCTCCTCTACAAAAAGAGGGGATAAAGAAACAATGGACATGGGATAGTGAGGGTGTCACAAGGCCCATGTCACATGTTTATCAGTCATTGTGTCATTTCTCACATGCTTTGTCCCTAGCCCACATAAGGCCTTAAGGCCTAGGTGAAGGTTTAGAGCACTTGGTTTTCAGGCAAAGGGTGGCAGAAGGACAGCTCCTTGTCAAGAGATCAGTGGCGATCACTCCTCAGCCTCTTGGCTATAATCATGAGAAGAGTGAACAAATGAGAGGCTGAGCCTAGGCAGCCTTGGGAAGGAACTCCAGGGAAGTGTCAACGTATGGGGCGTGGAGACATAGGAGGAGATATCTAAGATGTAAGCCATCCAACAAGCAAAACTTACAGCTCCAGGATGCTGTGAATGTGGCCGGTGCCCATGCAGAACTCCAGACGGGACAGTCACTGGCTCTTAAAAGACCTGTTACCCATGAGGCCTGCATGTCTGTCCTCCACAGCTTTCTCTCAGCCTCTCTTTTACTGATCACACAGCTTCTGATAATTTTGTTCTGATTGTGATTGTGAAATATGTATTTGATGGGGGGGGTGTTACAACTTCAGAGTAAAGGGCAGATGACCCAGCATTTAAGTCCTGACCATTATCAAAATGGATAGCACCACAGCTATAAATCATACCTATTAGTAACTGGAAAAAGGGAGAGTCATTTTTCTCTTCAAAGATTCTGGATGGGAATTCAGACGTCACACCAAATTGGGTCAGCCAATGCTTCATGCAACCAGAACCTTATCTAGTCCATGATGACAACTTCCAAAGTTTAAGAATGTGTCTGCCAATTGTCTTCCATGATGTCAGACCAGAAAGCCCCATGGATCCATATATCTCCACCACTCCAATACTGCGATTTAAAGTATGTGCCACCATGCCTTTTTTTGCTTTTTTTTTTTTTTTCCCCACAGATTAAGCGTTTTAAACTTAGGTCCTTGAGTGGTGTCGTCGGCACAGAGCATGGTTGCTAGGGATATCTGAGGTCATCCGCTTACCCAACAAGCACAGCCAAGGAGGCAGCCTGCAGCCAGCACCAAGCTGCATTAAAGCAGGGCACCCTAGGCAAGTGTGGGCACAGGGATGAGAACCCGACCCCTACAGGCCACTCCCAGTTGCTCTGCTCTAGCCTTTGGCATGGGCCCCCAGCTCTGGTTAGCCACTGCACCATTCTCTTGTGAGGCTGGACTACGGCAGGCTAGAAGCCGCCAATCACAAAAGGGCAGACGCCCCCCCCCCCCCCCCCCCCGTTCTGATACATGTCCGGCTTGCCCTGATATGTCCAAAGATGCCACAGACAATCAGATTGAGTAACCATTGCTTGCTTAGCCAATCATGTTTGCTGGAGATGACCTAACTGTCCCTGGAATTCCCCTAGGGGTACTAAAAGGAACCTACAAGCTTCTCTCAGGGTCACCACCAAATTTGTTTTGAGGGAATCCACACCCTTGAGGATTTTGTGTGTGTGTGTGTGTGTGTGTGTGAGTGTGTGAGTGTGTGTGTGTGTGTGTGAGTGTGTGTGTGTGAGTGTGTGCGTGCGTGCGTGTGTCTGTGTGCGTGCGTGTGAGTGCGTGTGTGTGTGCATGCGTGAGTGTGTGAGTGTGTGCGTGTGTCTGTGTGTGAGTGTGTGTGTGTGTGTGTTGCGGACCCTAACACTTTTGCTTGCAAAGCAAAGCACTTTATCCAGGGAAGGGATCCGGGGAAGCACTCTGACGACTCAGTGCGCATCAGGGTATAAAGACACTGAAAACAGTCACACATCATGGGTGTATGCTCTCTGCTCTGCCTGCTCTACAAGAGATAGTAGTCAGTGCCCATTTCATGAGATAACACAAGAATGTCAACAGTGATGCAAGAGTTTCCAAAGATGAATTTTATAATTTGTTAGGAAGCAACTAGTGATTAAGGTAAAAGTCTAGCCCATCCTATCCCATAGATTATTCTTTCTAGGATCTTGTCAATTATCATGTTAATGAAAAGTTACAAATTTCTGTTTAAACATTTGCCAATTATCTTGAAAGTTAACTTCTTTTTTAACTGATGGCCATCTACTAAAACAATAAAATTGTACAGAGCGCTCTTTTTTTCTGTGCACTTATATAGAGAGGATGTGATTTTACTTCCTAATACCCTCTGCCATAAAAAGAGTCTAGTGTCAAGTGTCTATCTGGCAAGTGTAAGAGAATACACAGAATGAGTGCCTGTTTCTCAGGGCTACACAGCTGATCAGTGAAGGCTTCAACCAAGGTGATTTCCTCCCAGTTCATTCAGGACACTGAGCAATACAATGAAGGCACCGTGAAGGGGGCCTTCCCCCGCTTCATTCAGTACCTTGGGCAGTAGTTCCTAGATTATTGTGATCAAGTAAAATTTCCAAAGTATTTCAGAGAGGACTAGAGCAATGGCTCCGCAGTTAGGAGCACCAGCTGCTCTTCCAGAGGACATGATTCATTTCCTGGCACCCACATGGCAGCTCACAACCATCTGTAACTCTGGTCCCGAGGAATTCCGTGCCCTCTCCTGGCTTCCAGAGGCACCAGCATGCACTCAGTGCACAGACAGACGTGCAGGGAAAACGTCACAAACGTAAGATAAAAACAATGAAAATATTTCAGACAGCCCCACATGAGGTTGCCAAATGTAGTGCTTTGCAGGAAAGACACGTGTCAACTTGTACAGACTTCTTTTACCACGCCACTGAACTGTCCTTGTCGGCCCAGCCTTGTACTACAACACTGTAATTTTAGACAAAATGTCACTCTTAAATCGATAAAATAGGCTTTATGGGAAGCCATTACATTCTACTTCTGTTCGAATTTTTTAAAACCCTTCGAGTATGGAGCCAACTCCGGGCTAAGGCAGTTCTTGGAAAGCACCCCCTCCTGGGTGCCGCTTCCACAGTCACTCGGCTCATCCATGTCTGTGCCTTCTCCTTCTTGCAGCTCATCCTTCTGAAACGGAGTGTGGAGTCCTTCCTCTGTGAAGGAATGATGTAACGAAGTGGTGGAGAATTTGCCTGCCATGCATGAGAGCCAGGATATTATCTTCAAAATTATTTTTAAAATTTGAGGTAGAGGACGAGGGATGGCCTGAGCTGGTAAGAGTTCTTGTCTAGCACACGAGAAGCTCTGAGTTCAGTCTCAAGTCTAGATAAAGCAGTATGGTCAGACACACCACAGCCCCTATGCATGAGAAGTGGAGGCAGGGAGAATCACAAGGTCAAGACTATTCTTAGCTGTAGAGTGAGCTTTAGGCCAGCCTGGGCTATAGGAGACGCTCTCTGAGAAACTGTTTTACTCCTTTCCAAGTGTTGTTCTTCTATTACATACAATGAAATGATGAGTATTAAATTTTACACATGGTCAAGACACAGAGCTGTTGACATGACTACAGTGAGGGCTGCCAGGGACTCGGAAAACATGGGTGACATGTTACCTGTCACAGTGGATTGTAAAACCCAGAAGTTACTTCTCCTTTCCCACTCCACTGGAAGGCACAGACAAGTAAATGAGTTAGCAAGCTGATCCTTGTCCAAGCACAGGCTGGGGTGCATCTGTCCCAATTCTCATTTGTATCCCTCCTCTCAGACCTCATTCTGCAGTCTGCTGAAGTTCCCAAGCTTGATATGAGATACACACATGTAATTTCATAGCCTACCATTGGATTCTCAACACTATACTTTCTGTACATCAAAAGAGGTAACTATCAACTCCTGTACGCTCTTATAATCATGATCTATGCACGGTCTCTATGGACCATCTTCTTCGATGACCTTTCATTTTGGGAGAGCACCACATGGACAGTGAAATGAGAGGGGAGACACCCACTCAGGGCTCAGTCATCCAAGACCCTGATATCATTGACACAGCAAGACAATCTCCATGCTCAAGCTCAAGCCAAGCCCATGGAGGCTCATCAATGGAAGCTTGGCAAGGAAGGCCCTTCTTTAATAGATGTAAAGGTCCACAGAGACAGTGCCACAGTTCCCAAGAATTGTCCAAATAGTACACCCTCTTCTATTCCTTTAAAGTTTACAAATTTTCACACACAATAAAATATTTTCCATAATTATGTATCACGAAATGGCCACACAATAATAATATGTACATCTATATATGAATTTTAAAGCACATAAGATACTTCAACGTAATCTATGTTATTGTGGTAAGAATTTCCAGGTGTGTGATTTACATCTATTTTATTGAAGAATGAGCAGGCTTAGGGAAGTGAGATCATTCATCCAGAGTAATAGAAATAGGAATGAGTATTGGGATGTGGCCCCTTCCACACTTCATATCAGCACCAAGAGTTTGCTCTGAGGGTGAGTGGGCCTCAAACCAAAGGAGCCTGTCCGGGCAGAGAGTCAGCCTGGCAGTCACTTGGGGGAAGCCGCAGCCCACATTGTTAAAAGTCCGGGAGGCGGATGGTCTTCTTCGCCTTCCTCATTGTACATTTGTTAATAAATGTACAATCTCCTACTTGGTTCATTAGAAAGCAGCACATAAAGCAACCAATCCAGGAGGGCCACAAAGCCAGGGTGAGCACATTGGCCAGTCACCAGAGAGAGTGCCGAGGAACACTTTCCTCATACCCACTTTTCAAAGAAATTGGTGTTTTGGTAATAGTAAATTAATTTTTTTCAGGAAAATTCTGTTAATCATATATTTTTGTTGTTTGTATGATGTGCAACTGGTTCAAACTATAAATAATAATTTATAGTTTATAATTTATAGTTTAGAAAACAAAAGGCATAGCTAAAATAAGAAGAGACTATTACTGATGATGCTTCTGTTTATAAACACTCACTGAGTGAAATTTTCACACACACAAAAAGACCTGTTTATTCTGAATAGACTAGTCTTAGAAAAATTAGGATGGTCTTCTTTGAAATACGAACCCTGTCAATTCAAACCAATGGTAATAAGATAATCTCCACTATTAGCTTTGTTGCTCTATAGATATTTTCATGCCTTGTTAGAGGTTGTTTATGGCTTTTATAAAATAGTCATTAAAGGAGCCATTTCCAACACAGAGTTAAACAAGCAAACTAGGTGTCACTGTGTCTTTGTTCCCAGTGCCTATCATTTAGACTGATTAAAATGTTAATTTTTACATATGTGACTAAAACCCAAGTCACAAACAAGAGTGGCTGCAGGCGCACTCTCCATCATCGCGGGTGGGTAAACTGACAACGTGTAGCTGCGCATTAAGACAAATGTGGAATTTAGACAAAGTATCCCGTCTGCTTTCAGATGGGGACTTTCAAACCTCAGGAAGGTTTTCAGTAGATGTCATGCCTTTTAACTTGAAAAAAGATAAGCGCAAATAAGCTCCCAATTGTCTCCCCAATATGTAAACCACATCTCGGGCTGCTGTCTCTGCTGCTCCTTTGAAGTTGCGCTGAAATGTCATGTGTTGTGAAGACTGCTGTGCATAAGCAAGACAATTTGCTCACTTTCAGAATTCTTACCGGTCTCCACTGCTATCTGGTACCCAGCCTCTAGTCTCCGCGATGACCTTTCCAGCCTCTCCGTGTTATCCAGCAGATGTGCCCTCTGAAACGAAGGGGGAGTCAGACGAATGGCTACAAGGTTCTTTTTTGCCTTTTTAAAAAATAATGCCTTTGTATGTCCTAACACGGGGTGGGGGGGGGGTATCCACAATCCATTACAGTTAAATTTTAGCAGACAGTTCATCAGAGGAGCCACAGCAATGAATAGATTTCCAATCAAACATGCATGGACCATCCACTTATTTGTTTTGGGGGCTTCTTTTTCTTCTTCTTTTTAAAGAAATGGAGCCCCTTGTTGTGAATGGACACAACAAATCTTAGTCTACACCACTGAGAAATGCATGAAGAGCAGAGCCAACAAGATCTTTCCTGTTTTAGCACAGATGAGACACACGGCATTGTGATTCCTGTTTGTGTTTAGCTTTAAAAAATAAAGTCATTTCCAATACTCACTTGGTCCTTTGATTTCTGCAAATCATTTTTTTTAAACAAGAACTTTTATTGTTTTAAGAGAACGCTTGTCATTTTGAATGTGTAGCAAGATGGCACATAGAACAACAACACCACCGAAAGAGTGCTAAACAGCACTTCTAGCTCAGAGACAGCACAGGACAGCCGCTGAGGAACAGGAAACACACAGGGTTTATGTGTTATGGCAGTCACTGTCCATTTATCCCCAAATGTGTGACACTAGGTTAAAGTTAAACTGTTAACACATAGAGCTTTGGACTGTGAAGTAAAATCACAATCAACACTTAGAAAAGAATATGTACAGCTCTTTCATATCACATCTTCTGTGCAAATTAGAGAACTCCAATATTCTAAACCTTCCTTTCTACACTGAGACCTTATAAATGTGTCTGAGCCCCCAGCAGATACATGCATGTTACCAAAACAGATTCATAGGCTAGCCATGTCTATGAATGAATGGTGCATGCATGTTGTATACATGTACATATAGTTAGGTACCTAGAAATATATGAGTATGCGTGCCTGTGTATTTGGTTATGGACAGCTTATGTTTATATGCATTTGTATAAATGAGTATCTCTTGCCCTCAAATCAATTTTGGTGCCTAGTCAAAGAAGAAGAAAAACATGCAACCATAACTATACAACTTTGTGTTGTTGACAGATGTCACTTAAAATTGAAGCAACGCTTTCCAATAATAATAAAAAAGGAGGTGCCACATGCATTATCTGAGTGGCTGTCGAGTGAAATGATCTAGCTTGCTCTAATGAGCCCCCATGGATCTTGGAGATGCAAGCTGTATTGACACGCACACTTAAGCTAATACACCTAGACCAGTGCCTCCAAGCTCCAGCAGCCAGGGATGCTGACAGAATATCTCGCTTCCATCTTCAAAGAAAGGAAGTGATTAGTATGTTATCATTACCATTCAAAACGTGATTTCCTTATTCCCTCCCGGCATAGGTGACACATCTGAGATGCGGCCAGACGTTAGAGGCAGCTAAAGCCACATCAAAGCTTTCCTTGAAAAAATTTTTGGGGGAAGGGCGGGGGATCATTAAAACAATGCTTTTAGAACAGAGAGACAGGACCTGATGTGAAGGTCAGGAAGCGGCACGGAGCAGTCTATAATAATTAGGAGTTGTCTAATATACAGTGCAGAAATTAAGAGAAACACTGACCCTCCTTCCAGAAAATAAAAAGAAAGGAAGTAAATAAGATGGAGGAAGGGAGAAAAGGCCTCTTTATGTCACAAGAAGCAAAATTACTGAAGGCTGCGACTGAGAAAAGAAGAGCAATAGTGCTCTCTCTCTCGCATGGCTATTTCTAAATAAAACTTAATACTATTCAAGCTTGCCAAAAACTGTGTCTTTAATTCTGATTTAATTCTGATTCTCCTTACATACAGGCTCTGGGAGTAAGAACTGTTTTTTCCCTCCTCTGAATACTGTTTCCTACCTAAACAAAGGGCTTTAAACTGGTGGTCCTCTAATATATATATATATCTCAATCTGACTCGAGAAAACAAGAGAAACTGTGAATTTTAGTCCAGATGAAGACAATTTGGGGCTTATTTTCATGTTCTATGAAATCCTAAATTCAAAGACGACACTTAGCTTAATAGAGATAAAAAAAAATTGTAAGACTATACTCGAGTTGGCACTTCCTCTATGCTTATATATGATGGAAGAACAAAAGCTACACATGTGTGGAATGAAGTGTTTAAATGTGGGGAGATCTGGGAGACTCCAGAGCTACACGGGAAGCAGAATGTCCAAATGAACATTAAACACTGTGCATGCTGAAGCTACTGCTTCTTCCCCGGTCCCATTCTTCTCAGAGAAAATCTGCACCCAAGAGGATGATCAGCTTAAGGCAGCTTCCCAGCAGGGTTTCCCTTCCCCTTTGGAAACTTCTTCACTCAAGTCAAACTAAAATCAAGTTCTTATAACAGCTGCACTATTTACATTGTTCCCTCAGCTGTATGCTGCCCCGGTCGTTTAAATGAAAGGAGATGAGGTACAGTGGCGCTGAGGCTTTCAACATGCCCCCACGCCCCAACCCAAACTCATCCCCTCACCCTCTTCTTGGCCCTTTTCAAAGCAGGTGAGGGAAGCTGTGCAGAAGCTTCAGTCGGAGCTCAGCTTGTGCGAGGAACTGTACAAAGTGGAAAGACGGGGATGCAGGGTTCCAACAGCTCGGCACCGCCAACGCCAGAGCAGCTCCCTCTGCACTAGGGCACATTCTGAGAAGAGCGTCATGAGGAAGGACGGGCACACTATGCTTCCAAACACAACAGAACGCTGCATTTTGGAGCAGATAGGGGTTCGCCTTCTTAGTAGTAAAAAAATGGGGAACGCTGCATTTTGGAGCAGATAGGGGTTCGCCTTCTTAGTAGTAAAAAATTAGAATAACACTGACTGTATGAGCATGAATGAATCCTGACGGGGAGAAGAGCCCTTCTGAGCAGAATCCATTCCAGCCCAGTGTCATCATCTAATCCACAAGAATTTGTGTTGCACCCAAATCAAAGACCCAGACAATCCTCCTGAGATTGCCATTGTGTCACCCGAATGGTCTAATTCTCCTGGTACTAATTCTATCACTCAACAGTTCCAGGAGCATCAACATGACACTGAAACATACACAACTGTGAAAGAAAAACAAGAGAAATTACCAAGCAGTGATATATTACAAAAGAGATGGGGGCGAGACTTTCTGCCTTTAGAATTCAGAATCCCTCTGATCCTGCACCATAGCAGAACAACAATCTGGCCAAAATTATACTTGTTATAAAGCACAGGAATGCTATCCATCAGATCACTGTCAATTCAAGGACAAGAGCTCTGTGGAGTTTCTTTGCGTGCAGTATATGTGCATGTGTGGGTTTGTGTATGTGCGTGTGTGTACATGCATTCAAATCTATTGTTCATTTTAGCAACATGTGAACACTCAGATTCCTCAGCAAAGGGTAAGGATCTCTAAGACAGCCTACCTCCCAGAGAAATGATATTTATGTCATCACTCATTCAAAGAGTAATCAATAGAGTAACTGTACTGGTTTAGTATATATACATACTTCCATGTTGGAAAGGAAAAAATTAAAACCAAAATACGAGAGGCTACTGGTGCATTTTCTCCCTTTAGCTCTCACGTCACTGTCACTTTGGCTGAGCTAGGAGCTTACTCGTGCATTCAATCAGGAGAGTTGTTGAAAGCACTGTTCCCAGCCTCAGAACCAACATCCTCAATACCCACAGAATAGCAGCCACCTCAGGAACCACCTAGCAGAGCTGCAGCTAAGGTGCCCAACCAAGAAACTCCTGTGGAGCTGTGAGCAGGAGACTCAGAGTGAGCAGGAGACCAGCCCGTGTCCTTGTGGGAAAACAGAACTCAGCAATACTGAAGAGGCAATGAATCACAGCGCTGGTGGTGGGTTTGGCCCTCGTGGAGACACCACCACCCAGGGCCTTTTGGCCACAGTCGCAGGCGCTGCTGCAGTAATTTCTCAGGCCCTAGACGAGGCTGCAGCAGCACTCAGGAAAAGGAAAACTCTTTTGGGGGCTGCTGCCTACAGAAAGGAAAAGTGCTTAACACGGAAGCAAGATTACTACTGCCCCAAGGTGTCCTTGTACCAGAGCAAAGGCATTTGCAATGCACATTTCCCCATAAAGTCTTATGTGGAACCCCTAAATCTAGGGGTGGGTGGTGTTTGCAGTAATCAGGATCAAGAAAAAAAAAAAAATGAAGTCACACTAAGTTCACTGAGAAACTAATACAAATAAAACAACTCTGAAGCATGCACAAACAAAGCTCTGCAGTTTGAAGACACCTCAATATTAACTTTCTCTTAGTGTCAGCCAAGAAGAGCACCCCACAAGAAGGGCAACTGAAACACAGTTAGAAGATGGGCAGGGGAGACATTTTTTTAAGTCATCAAGTCAATAGTTTTGTCAAGTGTACATTTCCCTGGGAAAATGAAGACCAGATCCATTGCAGAGTTAGAAAATAAATTTTGTAAGAAACAGTACAACTAAGGAGAAAAAAGGAAGAAGCTGGGAAATACTTACCTCTTCACGTAATTTTATCAACTGCAACATGAATGCACAAAAAAAAAAAAAAAAAACACAAAAGCTAAAACGGGAAGTCACGGCAGAGAAGAAGATCAGCTGTGTGACAGGCGCAGAATTAACACTGACAATTCATCTGTTTACATGTTTAGCATTTAAAAATCACAGACAAACACATTAAAAGAACCTGAGCATAGACTACATGCAGAGGGTTTTGAACAAATAAAGATCACTTTCTCACACTGTCACATTAAACAAAGAGAATAGTGTGAAATTCTCTTTTAAAGTACATCTAAGAACCATCATGAAATAAAGGGGAACGACTTCATAGAAGTCTATATTATAAAAACAGAAAACAAGTTTACCGCGCCTCTCTTCTAAGAAGGCACCATTAGAGAGGCTTTGTACATACAAGATTCCAGGATGTTTCTCTATTCAGAGACTTGACAACTGATTTCAGATTTCACCAACAAATGAAAATGATCAGTAGTTCATGCTTTGG